CAGGGAGAATCGGCCGACGGTTCCGACAGATGGGCCTTCCCTATAGGCTGTCCCTTCTGTCAGTGGCGGTAAAGCAGCTGAGGCGAAGAATCAAGGGGACCACCTACATTTAGTAGCGGACTCATCCGCAAACGATGCTGACCCCCTTGAGGAGCCAATACGTGTGCGACTGCCTAGGACTTCCGAGAGTACCGCCGGCGTTAGGAATGAGGATGAGTATGGAGCTCAAGTAGAGGTTACAACGCTGCACACAAGCGCCCTTGGCCGGGGCCGAACACAGGGCAGCGAGCCCTCCTCTACCAACTCGACGGAAGGTGACCAAATGCCGCCAAGGGGCCTTATCGACCAGCCCGGTGACCAACTGCCACCTCGAGGCAAGAAACCCCAAGTTTCGTTGGAAGAAGTGGAAGACGAGGAAGCCCACTTACGATCTGATATCCCGGTTACCGGTCCGAAGGGGAAGTCTCCTGTGACCCCCGAGCCTGAACTAACACCTGAGGTCAGGAGATCTGTCATCGACATGTACTACGAACCGTTTGGGACCCACTGGACTCGCCGAGCCTTACACCTCGCCCAAGACGAACCCACTGCCTTCGCTACCCTGAAACGGTGGGTACATCCCCGAAGGACAGGGGAAGTCACACGAGAATTGTGGGACGTACTCAAGGAACAGCCAGAGACCACGGTGGAAGCTAGGGACAGATGAGAGTGGATGGAGGACCTAAAGAGACCACCCATGTACATACGAGGGCAGAAGGGGCGCAATGTATCAATTAATGTGCAGTTGGAGACGTTGGATACCCGAGAAACCCACGCCCTGAAGGCCTTAGTGGATAGTGGGGCCACCGGGAGCTCTATAGACCGCAACTGGGCACGAAACCATGCCCTCAGCCTCAAGCGGGCTGCTCGACCCATTCCCATGTATAATGCCAATGGCACGAGGAATAAAGGAGGGGACATCACGGAGTATGCCGAGGTGCGATTACGAATCAGAGACCATGTGGAGTGGATAGAATTGGCTGTGGTGGACTTAGGCACCACCCCCTTATTCCTAGGGCATGATTGGTTGCAAAGGCACAATCCGCTCATCGACTGGGACACCAGAGCGGTAACCCTTGCCTGCTGCGTGTGTCGAAAGATTCCCTTCTCGCTACCCGACACGGACCCTACCTCCCAGTGGGACGAGTATGAAGAAGGGGATACCATTCTGGTCATAGACTTTGAAGAAGCCTTCCACGTGCGGGCCATGGGGACCAAAGCCAATGAATTAGCCGCCCAGGCCAACGCCAAAAAGACGGCGAAGTCTTTCGAAGAAATAGTACCGGAGGAATATCGAGAGTTCAAAGACGTCTTTGATAAAGAAAACTTTGACGAGTTGCCACCGCGAAAGCCCTGGGATCACGCTATCGAACTGATTCCCAATGCTAATGCCAACCTCGACTGTAAGGTTTACCCTCTAAACCCGATGGAGCAGGAGGAGTTGGATAAGTTTCTGGACGAGAACTTATCCACTGGTCGTATACAGGCCTCTAAGTCCCCTATGGCATCCCCCTTTTTCTTCGTCAAAAAGAAGGACGGGAAACTTCGCCCGGTACAGGACTATCGAAAACTTAACGAAATGACCATTAAAAATCATTACCCGCTACCTCTAATCGGGGAGTTGATGGATCAGCTGAAGAAGGCCAAGTACTTCACCAAGTTGGACGTGCGGTGGGGATATAATAATGTCAGGATCAAGCAAGGGGATGAGTGGAAAGCCGCATTCTGAACCAACCGGGGTCTTTACGAACCCCTGGTAATGTTCTTTGGGCTTACCAACTCCCCCGCCACCTTCCAGTGGATGATGAATGACATTTTTAAGAACCTCATTGCCGCCGGAGAGGTATCTGTCTACCTAGACGATATTCTCATCGCCTCCAAGACTAAGGAGGACCACCGACGCATTGTCCGAAAAGTGCTAAAAATCCTTCGCGACAATCACCTGTTTTTAAAGGCCGAGAAGTGTGAATTCGAAGTGGAAGAAACGGAGTACCTGGGGGTGATCATCAGCGAGGGAAAGATTCGAATGGATCCGGTGAAGATTGCAGGGTTGCTGGATTGGCCTACCCCCCACAAGAAGCAGGAATTGCAGTCATTCTTAGGGTTCTGCAACTTTTATCGTCGATTCATTCAGGATTACAGCAAGCACGTCAAACCCTTAACCCTGCTTACAGGGAAGACTGAATGGAAATGGGGAGAGGCGCAGCAGAAGGCCTTCGACAAGCTCAAAGAACTGTTTTGAGAGGATGTCGTCCTAGCCATACCCCTCGATGAAGGAAAGTTTCGAGTAGAAGCGGATTCCAGTGAAGGGGCCATTGGAGCGGTGTTATCCCAGTGGCAAGAGGAAAAGTGGCGACCCGTAGCCTTTCTCTCCAAGGCCCTTTCCGTTACCGAGCGAAACTATGAGATCTACGACAAGGAGCTCCTGGCCATCATGATAGCCCTGGAAGAGTGGCGCCAGTACCTCATGGGAGCACGAGAGGACTTTGAGATCTGGACCGACCATTCCAATCTCCAGTATTTCTGCAAACCCCAGAAGCTTAACCAACGACAAGCTCGGTGGGTTACTGAATTGGCAGAATACCAATTCACCCTGCATCACAAGCTGGGGGCTCAAAACCGCAAGGCCGACCTATTGTCACGACGAGCAGATCATGACCAGGGGCGACAGGACAATAAGGATATAGTTGTCCTGGAAGCCGAACACTTCAGAGCCCTAGCAATGCCAACGCAGGAGGAGCTGCACAAAGAAATCAAATTAGCTACCCATGATGCCCGTAAGTGGGACTGGGGAATCTCTGACTCTCTCAACCATGAAAAGGGGATTTCACGAGACCAGGACTTACTTTGGTATGATGGACGTATCTATGTCCCCATGGACAAGGGATTACGGGGCAAGATCATAGCCCTTCGACATGATCATGTTACCGCCGGACACCCCGGGGTGGAGAAGACCAAAGAGCTCGTTCTTCGGGACTACTGGTGGCCCCGCATGCGCCGTGAAGTAGAAACGTACATGAGGGGATGTGAGGTCTGCCAATGGACCAAGGCGGATCGCCGCCCCAAAAGAGCACCCCTTCATCCAAACGAGGTGCCTAATCGTCCGTGGACTCATATATCGGTCGACATGATCACAAAGCTCCCTAACTCGAAGGGGTATGACTCCATCCTCGTCATAGTTGATAGATTCTCTAAAACCATTATCCTGATCGCTTGCACCGAGGAGTTAACGTCCCTCAGCTTCGCGAAAATCCTACGAGACCAGGTCTATGTGCCGTACAGGGTAATGCCCGAAAAGGTCATTTCAGACAGGGGGGCAATTTTCATATCCAAATTCATGAAGGAGTTTTACGCTCTTCTCCAAGTCACCGGGAACCCCTCTACTGCCTATCATCCACAAACAGACGGACAGACCGAGCGGGTCAACCAAGAGATTGAAAAATACCTCAAGATGTTCGTTAACTACTGACAGGATGATTGGAGCGAATGGTTGTCACTGGCTGCCTTCACTCACAATAATCGAAAACACTCCGCGACGGGCTATTCCCCTTTCAAGGTGGTGTTTGGGAGGGATGGGCAAGTCATCAAGACAACCCAGCGCTCCGATGTAGTCCCAGCAGCTTCGAAATTGGTCCAGGGAATCCAAGAAGTACAGGAGAGGGCGAGGGAGTCTCTAGAGCAAGCGGCCGAATCCATGAAAAGGGCCTACGACAAACATAAGGGCAAAGCCATGGAATACCAAGTTGGCGATAAAGTATGGTTGGATTCTACCAACCTGAACCTACCCCGACCCACCAAGAAGCTCAGGGATCGACGGGTAGGCCCTTTCACCATCATCGCTAAAAAGGGGGCTTCCGCCTACGAACTTAAACTCCCCATGGGTTGGAAAATTCATAATCGCTTTAACGAGTCCCTTTTGACCCCGTACCATGCTCCCGAATTCCCCAATCAACCTCATCCAGAAAGACCACCACCGGAACTGATCGATGATGAAGAGGAGTACAAAATTGAGGAAATTGTGGAGCAACGAGACAAAGTCATTGGACGAGGGCGAACCCGTCGAACCATAACCGAATACTTGATAAAGTGGAAGGGATACCCGGCCGAGGAAAACTCTTGGGTGAAACGTTCAAATATGGCAAATGCCGAACAACTCGTAAACGAGTATGAGGCTCGCATCCAAAAGGTTCTATGGAAGGTCAACGACAAAGGAAAGACAATTGGGATCGACAACAAAATACCACCCAATAATCTATATAAATACCATGAGCCAGACACCCCTTGCCTTACCGATATCATCACGGTTCCTTCATCTCAATGCTCAGCAGTGGCCCACTCAGAGGAAATCGATAGGATAGTCGAAGACACACCTATCAATTGGCACCCAGTATTCAACCCCGAACTAGAAATGGATTTCGTTGAAGGAAAATGGCCAAAAGTTACAACGGACGAAGCGGACAGAGTACCAGTCGTTGATGAAGAGGACAACATGGAGGAAGAGGTAGACCTTCAAAGCCTCCAAAGACTTCACGAAAACTGGAATACAGATGATGAGGGGGACGACGATGTACTATCGTTTTACTCCGATTCCAGGCAGTCCTCTTCTGACAGTGAGGAATGGGAGTCTCATGACTCATTCGGGACGAACGAGTCTTAAGGAGGGGGTAATGTTACGGTTTATTCATTTTTCTTTTATTACGTTTCTTGCTTATGCTTTCATGCGATCCGCACGGATGCATTCTCACAGTACTATTTATAGCCTAGTCATTGTGTATTTAAGTAGAGCCTCAGCTGGTCTAAACCCCAGCTTTGGCTAAGGTTTAATCTACCTAACTCAAAGCTCCCGGCTCCGTGACTACTTGTCCGTCGCTCGCTCGTCCACAAGACTTTGACCTCTATCGTATCATCCACCAAAGTGCGAGTGGTGATCCCTAGTTGATCCAAGTTTTGAGAGTTAGTGGCTAACAAGAAGTCTTTGCAAAATCAGCAATGCGAAGTGAGACCAGAGAATCCAAAGGTTTGGTGAATGCATCATGGGCAAATGGTGTGTCGGGAAAGAGAATCAGAGAGTACTGCTCCTGAAGACGATATATTATGTCAAAATATGCCTGTCTCCCCTCGCTGAGTGGCCCATATGCATCTGGTTTATGAGCATCGAAAATAGTGACAATGTCTAAGGCAGGAAGGGAGAGGAGCAAGTTGCCGAGTGCAACTATGTCAAGAAGCCCTTCAGCTGTATTGACCTTGAATTTGGACGAATCATTTTCTATGCCTGAAACCATTCTGATGAGGCATCGGAGAAAACAATTAGTTGATTGGCTTACTATCAGTGTTCAGCCCATCTTCAAGGTACAAAATCAGTCGAAAGAGGAGATCCCTCAGTTGGAAGTACAGAACTCTCTCGATTTCGACCCCATGTATATAAGTATCAACCCGACCCAAAACGGTTTTTGACAAAGTTGTAGTAGTGTAAAAATGTTGTCCTCTGACAATGGAATTTTCAAGTGTCACTACTGCATGAAGAGTGCCTGGTTGAATGAAACTATTCTTGTTATCAGCGGTAATCACACCATATCATTGAAAGGACGTACAGGACATTACCAGGCTCAAGGACAACAACTTCTGCTTTCCATTGCTTTGGGTCATTAATGAAGTCAGAATCCCAGTCATGGTACACATGTATCAACTTGTCATGCTTTTTAATGCGACGTTGAAAGAGGTACCAAAGCTGGCGGCCACAATGAACTTGGATAACTGTACAAACCCCAAGACAATAGGGCTTGATGCGGTTAATAGCACTTTTAGTTGCCACATACCAGAAGTGGGTGGTGGATGCAGGATACCCCTCTGTCTGAAAGATGCGCTCTGTGTTAACAGACATCTGTTTGAAAACTCCCATGTCACTGGAAAAAATTCTACGAATAAGTCAGTTTTGAAACAAGAGTTCATTTTCGCTCCTTACAGTTGTAAGGGATGCAAATCCTGGGTGCGGCAGGGCAGACGAAGCACACTCAAAATAAGGCCTTCATTTTCCTGGCTTTCTTCATGCAGTTCACGTAAAGACAGATGCATGTCACGGTGATGTGAATGAGGTGCTCTATAGATGCTAGAGCAATGCCTCATCCTGCAAGTACTTCGGGGAGAGGTGGTGGTATGAGTCAAAGGGTGGATTGCTGAGGTAATCTACTTCTAAACTCGGACTAAACTATCTGTAACTACTAAATCTGGCTAACTGAATATTACTATGAAGAAAACATAATCCGAGTTCAAAACGGGGTACACCCCATCAACGGCCCTGTCCTTGGTGGTCTGTATACTGTGTTAATATATTGTCATGTTGCAAACAAAAAACACAAACCTTGAAAATCTCGATTTGCATCAGGATTTCTGATCTTAGAAAGTGATGACAGTGTCCAAGTGATCTGAGATGTCGTTGCACCAACCACTAGTATGTTGTGGTCACGAAAATGTTCAAGAGTGCGAACAGGATTGTTGATGGCCAAATCGAAATCCAGGCGATATACCAGCGCTGACTCTACAGCGGGTGCTACAGAAAGTGAAACTGAGGCATTAATACAGCACTTATGCCATCCATCCAGCAACGCTCGATCTTGAACCTCCTAAAAAACATCATTTATAGGATTTCGAAAAAGGGATGGGTGACATACGTTACTAAGCAATGGCAAATGATAGAATGTATGGTATCTTTCACCCACTAAAATGGGGGGAGACTCAACCATTGTTCCAGAATGAGCTAGGTTGCGATCTTGTTTTAGTTGCTTTCGGCTAGCTGATACAGATGTAGATCGTTGCCTCTTTCGGTGATACAAGAAGGGATACTTGTTTGCTCGAACAAACAAAGAACCGTCTTCACCGATTTGACCGAGCTCAATGGTGGGGAGGTCGTTAATGTTCAAGCCGGTGTTTGGTGGATGGGGCCAGAGCGCCGGAAAGTGTCTGTGGCCCCATTGTTCCACTTGCAATGTCAAGAGGCGGTGAACCTTGGGAATCGAACCAAGTGTAAAAGCTGGGAGGTGGCAGGCATTAAGAAGTAATTGAGGAGGAGCACTGCAAGACCTTGGTTTCCATTTTACTCGGTGTTTCTGTGCCAGCGATGATGAACGTCCTCTGCGTTGTTCTGCCTGGGGTCCCACCTTGCGAGCTCCCTCGAAGTTTTGACTATTATTAAGCCAAGCAACATTTGCCAATCCTATATGAACCTCCAGGCCAAGGATTTGGTTACACTGAACAAGGGCAGCAAATGCATCAGAAAACCAGGTATCCGCTCCTTCAGAGTCACCTCAGATCAATGGTGCAGCCTCAGTCAAGAAGTTTGTCAATCCAGTGTCACTTGTCCAACAGCCCCACACGACACCGATAATACAACGCCAGAGCATTTCCTCAATACGTTGGAGGAGTTCCGGTTTTCCATAAGATGCAAGTCGTCCTCTGACCTGCAAGCAAACATCAGTGATACCTTTGTGAGATGGTAAAAAAAAACTCCTACCTGTAAAGTAAGCGAGATGGAGATATGTTCTCCAGAACCTGGGTACAGAATGAGCAGGAGTGGTGATATCGCAATGGCATCAATGAAAGCTTTCTTCCAATGTTGCACATTTTGTTCAAAAGTCTCCTCAAAGATCATTGTAGTTCTGAGGTGGTCTGAGTGTTCAAACCTTACAGTTAGAGCGAGTACCATGAATACTAAGGGAATCTTACCTTTACGAATGAAAGTTTTCGCAAAGAAACAATCAGAAGTTGATTTAAACAGTGTTGGATCCCCTTACAAGGCAAAGCACCGAGCGAATATGAAAAGCGATGCCATCCAAAATACACAGGGCATTGGTGTAGGTTTTGATGGACTCATCCTTCTGGTTGTTCACCAGGAGGCAAATATCATGATAGACATTCTCTTGTTGGTTAGTTGCCTATGGACTTGGCATTGATCTGTTCCTATATGCACCAAGCAATGTGTAAAGTTCATTCAACTTCACGGTCCATTGCTCCAGCAGCTCCCGAATCTACCAGACAGGATTAGGAAGGCTCTCACATTCAAGAAATGACTAACTCACGAAAGCTGGGATAGTATGAATGAGTTGGGATACGCAAAAAGATGCAGGCCATGTCCATCACCTTCGCAAGGATAATGGTGTCAAGAATTGCACCAAATTGGTCTTCTATGGTGCTGATTTCATCGATACAGGCCTTTTCAGGTTCGCACCAATATCGGTCAGCAAACTGCTTCAGTGATCGTCCCATCGCGATATCTCCCAATTAATAGACTTTTCAGTGCAAATATGACATTAACTGCATCCTCAAGCTCTAAGGTCAGAGAAGCATCATACCTAAATTGATGAGTGAGGAGCCGGATGATGGACCAAGATAGGATTGAGATAGGATCTCATTTACTCCCTTGACTTCAGCTATTCGTGAACCCAGATTAGAATTTTAATAAATTATTTAAGTATCTATATATATTGATTTATTTTGAGTCTATAGCTGCTTATGGCAAATAACAAGTCTGATTAATAAAAATCACAAGACCTTATCCATATACAGCAATGGCAAGGTGCCGGGGGTGCTCAGGCACAATCTCATTTGAAATGAGCGTACCAGTCTTGTATTCCATAGATTACCGCTTGACCTCCCCCAATTGTTTATAGATGCCAAGTACATCAAGCTCGGATGTAAGGAAGCTCCCTCCTGCGTAATCTCTATCTCACTTCCCTCCAGCTAGGGTTGTCCCATACGAAGGAATTCATCGCCTCGGCTTTGAGCCCAGCAAATGATTATATTGGTGTTGCACCCCAGTTCATGCGAGACGAGATAAAAAAGCCAAAGCTGTAATTAATCGGGCCTTGGTCGAGACCGTTACCTTTCCCGTCTACGGACTGAAAGACCTTACGATCGACCCATGCTTTCCATCAGCCATCGAGCGCCTTTCAAGTAAACGTAGGTATCGCATTGTGATCTTTGCCTCATTCTCCGGTATATAGGCCGCTGATCATACCGGAGAAGTTTTGGTATATCTCATTATGCGCAATGACTTTCCATCTCTTGACCGTCGTCTCTTCCCCTAGCTCGGATGGATACAACATGGACTGAAGATCCACAACAGTTTCTATGACGGTATATTTTGGGCCGATGGACCGGGGTACGCCAGGCTTCCGCTGTAATCTGAAGGCGTAGTCTGAATAACACGTTCACAGGCCCTAGTATGTTGGATCTATCCTCGTTGCAGATTCTTTCATTCTGCCGTTAAACTGGTAGTATATGGACCCGCGAACGAATGGAGAAGGTTAATGCTGCTGATGGGAATAATTTGTTCCCGTATTCCGCATTGACAACCGTGCTACAGTCTCACTTTCGCATGCTTTCCCAGTCCATGTCTCTTCCCCTATCGAGCACTGATCCACCACCGCGAGTGCCACTTCAGCTTCCATCTTTACACAGAGAGAAAGTTCGTCAAAATCTCCCAGTGCGAGGAGCCCAGTCGATGCACCCGACGAACACTCGGGGGAGTTGCCTGTAGTGTTGGTGACTCTCGAGCCTGGATATGACAGATTAGTCGATGAGGAGAAAAAATTGTGAGTGGACCTACGCTCCGCTCGTTCTGGCCCTTAAAGTAATTGGTCTGGAAAGGCTACCCAAATATGCCGTTCCAGCGATGATTATTCTGTATGATCGTGGATTTGGTGAGTGTTGTATTGGGTCGCTGAAGATGAATATGAATCGAAGAGATCACACGTCTTCTGGGAAGATTATCAAAGCACCGTTAAGGGTCATAGCCCAGAAGGAGTGGGAAAGGAGGACGGAGGACGGAGGAGAGAATAGGGTAGATACAGCACAACTCAAGTCAGTGCCATGTCGTTAGATGCTTGCAAATCAATTATATTCGAGATGTCGACATTTTTAGGTGTTTAATTCCATACCTTTGTATCCCCCTCAAATGCAATTTCTTTCCTACATGATGTGCCCTCGTCTCTTTTCACTCCCTGCGAAGAGCCTCTACTCTACGAGACGCACTCAACGGTGTAATCGGTGTAATTAGAATATGAGCGACGGCGTCACCAACTTGCCTGCACAGCCACATCACTCACTGGTCTTTTTTTAACCACCACCGTGTCAATCAATATGAGCTAGGGTGTCGCCAAATTGCCTGCACAGCCACATCACTCGTCTTTTCTTAACCGCCACATGTCAGTCAGTCGTGCTCTCCACCTAGTACCTTTGTGCCGCGTGGGTCTCAGTGCCACTACACCATATCTTTCCTGTGAGCGGTCTCTAAGCAAGGTCGAATGATGGAGGAACGTGAAATTGATGAAGATGGAACAGGAATTGGGATCAGGTCGGTGAGTATGCTAGCTACCTGGAACGCGAGAGATAGCTAATTAGGAATAGGCACTGTGACTACGTGTATCTTTGTCTGAACTGGTACCCCACATCTCTGGCCATGAATTCGAATGTGTTTCCGGAGCTCAATGCCGAGGCTGGAATCTGACTGCGGGAGAGAAAGGTTCGTTAGATAGAACATTTAAATGCTAATTCTGGTATTGTCAGACTATTGAAATACACCGCCCCATCCTGTCTACACATGTGAGATGTGATCCTTGTCACAGCCTACAGACCCTGGCCTAACCCCGAGTCAGCCCCAAGCCTTGTAGGGTTTCAAGGCGGGCTCGGGGGGTCTGAATTCGAAAGCCAGGCCCAAGCCCGCCCCTGTAAATCAATAAATTATTGGCAGCTCCGAGTCCATGGAGGCAATAAGTTTCAGAAGCCCCCAAATATCCGATGAAGACGTTCATTAGTGCCAGCATATATAATATTTTCGACCTTTTGTCGGTTGTCTGGATGCACTGAGGACCATTCAACGGAGGGTGCGATAGCTCTGGACTCGGTGTCTGACTCGCCTTCCAGACGGCTCTTCTCAACCACAGAGTATATATACTCCACTTCATGGTCCCAAGACGATACTTTTATCAATCATGGCGAATGCTAAAACACAAACCCCGCGCTGCTCTATCGAGGAAGGTGAGTTTACTGACAAAAATAACGCCAGCATATTCGTATGCTAATTTGACTAGCCGACAGAATACTCACAGGACCAGGAAGTTTGCTCGAAATTGAAACTCGAGTCAGTGCTCTGAGCTGCCGTCTACTCTTTGAAGGTCTAAATGCAATTTAGGTCATTGACGGGAGGGTCTTGAAAGTCTGGAAGAATCTCTGGCCATCCTTGCGAGACCTCTTCTTGCACTCGACCAAGGAGCACGCGGACAAAATCTATATAGTATACGAGAAAGAGCGTCACACCTACCAGGAGGTATTAGAGAAGGCGGTCAAATGTTCTGCCATTTTGAGAGATGTTTATGGTATTAAGAAAGGTAAGGACATCCTGGTGTTTTTTTTTTTAGTAAAACCACCTACTCACTCACTTTCGGGGTAGGGGATCGAGTAACCATCTGCTCTCGAAATTGTCCGACTTACTTGATCGTGTTTTGGGCTTGCCGTGCGTTGCATCTCACGTCTGCTTCAAAACTGAGGACTCAGTCTTGTAACAGATCTCCTGGGTGCCGTCACCGCTCTTGTGACCATGTAAAATTTGCTTCTGTATGCCTTTCATTGGTCGTTTGCTGATCGTACCAAAAGGTGGCTGCCATTGGAGCCGCTCCGACACTGTATAACGCTTACAAAGTGCTCACTGATCATCCTTGACACCGAGCGAGCTGACATGGTCGAACCGATTGGTGCTGAGCTTAGGCTCGCATGTGGTGCATCAGGATGTCTCGTCCTCGAGGATCACGAGGGGAAAGGCCATTGGGAAGGCATGGACGTTTGGAGTAGAGTCTTCTCCGAATACGATGGAGATATTGGCTCGGTGCTGAATGACGATCCTCAAATTTCACCTGAAGATAACGCAATGATTATCTTTACGTCGGGAACCACTGGCTTACCAAGTACGTAGTAGCTGAACCTGTTTCACAGCTCATCAGTGACGTTGTTCGTTCAAGAGGGTGTCTTGAGCACACATCGTGCATTCTTGACTACGTTATTTGATGTATGTCTTCTTTTCTATGAACTATTTCGTTGAGCTTATAAATTGTACTAGATAGCTTTGTTGACAGGGAGAGACCGCCTTCGACGAGGCGAACCACTCCTTCAGGTACCAAGGACAGGTCCTCAGGAAGGTTTCCTGTTTCCAGGGGTGCTGTCACAGGCTTCTTTCAACCTCGCAACTGTAAGACTGGCAGCCGACATGGTAACGAATCAATATTCACCCGTTTTCAGATGCACTGTGCTGTTCAAGGATTCAAGGTCGTTTTAACACGCACATGGAATGTACCTCAAGGCAAGAATCGACTTTGTTCGTGTTTAAAGGTCTCATTCTTACTCAATACTTGCAGCTGCGGAGTAATTCCATTCATTTCATTTGGTACAGCTTTCTTGCCTGCTAACTGATACTTCATTCTAGACTGTGTAAAACAGAGAATATCGTTCGGCTCGGCGGGTGCGTATCTATGTTTTCGTGCTTGCGTTAGTTAACGGTGTTGCAGTCCACCTTTAACCATCAGACAGCTCGCTGAGAGCGCGATATCCAATACTTCGATAAAAAGCATATTATATGGAGGTAACCCAACTGCACCGTCTCACTTTCAAAGATTTAGACAAGCATTTCCTCTCGCCACCGTGTAAGTGCGCCCCAACCTGGCCAGTAGTCGGCACTTACTCGGGTTGTCTTGTAGCTTTCAAATGTATGGTCTAACTGAGACAAATTGCGCCGGGGTAGGATTCGGTGAGGATATTTTTTGTAAACGGATTATAGCAGAGGCCTGATCTGCTCCCAGGTGGACCAGATTACGATGCGAGGCCAGATAGCTGGTGAGTCTATTTGTTCTGTTTCTCTCATCCTTAAACTGTTTCAATTGCAGTGGTTTCGTGCTTCCTGTTAATGAGATTCTGATAATGAAAGATGGTGCTAAAGCTGCGCCGGGAGTGGTGGGAGAGATTTGGCTTCGTGGTCCGAATGTGATGAAAGGGTATTTCGGCGACGGAGGTTGGTCTTAAGATCATTTATCTCACTGGTACACAGGCTTACACTTTTGGACAACGGTTGCAGCTGCTACTGATCGGGTGGGATCCCTTATTTACAGGTGCTTGTGGCGACTGAACTTTGATCCAGGTCCTTACTAAAGACGGATGGTTGATGACCGGTGATCTTGGACGAATAGACGAAGGTGGTTATGTTTCCATCACGGACAGGA